ATTAAGTGTGATGTTTTATCTCTGTAAATATTAACAGTGATTTTGATTTTTAGTAAGTGAGGATTTGAAAAGACTTATTGGAGTTAGCTTTTACTTTTTAAAACAATAATATATTTCCAGCATTTGAAAAAAAAATTTTCTTCCAGGAGAAAAAGAAATGTCAATAAACCAAGCTGCTTACAAATGATGCCAACTTTTCTTTTAGATCAAGATGAATGTGCCATTTATGGAACATGCAGCCAGACCTGTGTCAACACCCATGGGTCCTTTGCATGCAGTTGTGTGGAAGGCTACCTCCTGCAGCCAGACAACAGGTCCTGCAAGGCCAAAAATGGTAAGTTGTGATCCTTTTTTTTCTTCTAGAATTTCTTGTTTACTTTTTCCAGTTTCTTTTCATTAGATGTATTGCACAGGAATATGAAAATTCAAAGAGAAAGATTTTCTGTCATTTTGCTGTGATCTGTAGTTAGAAATCTGGAGCAGGCCCTTCAGTTCCCACTGATCATTATGAAAGTCCTTCTATTACAGGGAGTTTCTAATTAGCAAAAACATGTTCAAAATAAGTGGATTTATTGATTTGAATTAACCAGCTCTCTCCTGGACTATTGTAATAGACTTCTAAGTAGATTCTGTGAGCTTCTGGTTTGCCTCCAACATTCATACTCTATGTAATAAACTGGCCTGCTAAAATGTAAATCAGACCATGTTATTCTTTTGTTTAAAATCTCTGGATAACGTTCATGCACCCTAAAAATGAAATCTGAACTCCTCGATTGTCTGGAGCCTAGTTGTCTGGTACCATTTACCCTTCTAATCTTACCTCCTGCTGTTCTCTTAGCATCAATGCCAGCACATTGGTTTGCTTTTTCTACCATGTTGCCACTTTATTCATCTGAAATGCTTTTTCCTATGATTTTCACATTAATGTCGCCTTTTTATCATTTGAAGCTCAGCCTTAATGTCAACATCAGAATGACCATCCCTATCCATCCTACTTAATGGTATATACACTTTATATTATATGTTTTTTGTCAGTTTTATGCATACCTACTCTATCACTATGCAGTTTCTGGTTTTATTTTCTTTATAGTGCTACCACTTGAAATGGCCCCTTTTATATATCTTATTATAGGATTTCCCCCAGAATACTGTAAGCATTATGATAGTACAAAACTTGTCAGATTTATTTACTCAGTACTAACCATTGCCTCAAACATCCTCAATGAATAATTGTGGGGGGAAAGGAGAGGAGAAAGAAAAAGGTTAGAAGGTTGGAAGAGAAAAAGAAGAAGGAAAGAATAAGTTTGTTCTTTCTAATTAAAATTGTTAAAATGAGTATTCCATTCTTCAGTGTTTGAATTTCATGTTTCAAAATGGCCTTTTCTGCTTCCTGCATATAAAGCCTGTAGTTTCTATAGAGTCTTTACCGTACAGTATACACTTAGAAGTATTATTGGTTAACTAATGAAATATATTTGAGAAACCCTAGTCACAATAGGATAAGGCTAATCTTCTGTGGACTGAATTAGTTTTGGGATAGAATGCAAAGATATTACACCCAATATTCCATTTGGCTGCTTCTGACTTCCCCCAAATGTGGTTTTATATCATGAATGTTTAAATTACGATGTATTGATTAATTAACAAGTCTCCTTTGTCTCCCTTTAGTAGCAAGTGGTAAGTTAAGCACAAGGTAGAATTCTATTTTCAGTAGTTGGATGTGGGAAGCATTGAATTTGCTCAGTAAGGTGCTGTTGTTGACTCTCTTTTGTTGACTCTTTTTACACAACTTCGTGTTAGAAGTTTAAGGATTTCCCTGAGATAGTACAGTTAATTATTTAGAAAACATTTCTGTATACAAAACCGCAAAATAATACTCTTTAATTTCTTAGTTTACCTCTTTGAATTGCCAACTTGGTTTATGAAGTCCATTTATTTTTTTGAGGGTAATCTTTGAGAAAACTTAGGTCAGGTGATATGTTCCTTTTTCCCCACTACTGAGGGTTATGAATTAAAATATTGATAAAGTAAAGCAGTAGAAGGCTTCTTCTTTGCTGTTTCTATTGATCCACACAATCTTGTTCACAGAGAAAACGTAATGCAATAGATGTCTCTTCTTTCTACATGAGGAGACCATCTGACAAGAGTAAGATGCCGGGAGTCACCTGCCAGGAACAGGTGTAGCCAGAGAGGGACAGTACACATAGTGTCCTACTACCTGTTGTGTCAGTACCTTTACCTGGTCCTTACACCACAAACTTTGAAAACTTCATAATTACCTTGGTAATTCTGCTGTGATTTCTACTTAAGGAAAATGAATTGTTAGAATGGGCATAAGTCTGTAACCAACACTGACAAGTTCTAAAGGTCACATAGATATTTGAACCAAATTTGTACAATTTAAAAGAAAAACTATCAGTTTTGTTTCAGTTTTCTCAGATTTATAGCAAATCATATTTCTGGCTTTAGTTGTATGGAAAGTTCCATTTAATTGCATCAATTTTAAAAATTTTGTGGCAATTTTATTGTATTATAGTCTTTTTGTGTTTGAAGAGTACCAGGAAAAGTTATAAATTAAGCCACATTCGTCTTAAGGCTCTACCATGCTTCCTTTCAGTTACCTGACTGCTGAAATTGGCCCCACTTTTTCTTCTTTTTATGATTCTAACCTTTTTTGAGTCTAGAATTGAACTTTCACTTCAAGCCAGAGTTTCAGGACTGTCAGAAGCTG